GAAGTTGTCAAGGACTTCATTCTTCTTGGATTAGCCATCAACACTCATGGAAGCAGCAGTCAAGAAATCAAATGACGTATTGCATAAGGCAAATCTGCTGCACAAGACTTTTTTAAAGTGTTGAAGAGCAAAGATATCAGTTTGAGAACTAAGGTGTGCCTGACCCAAGCCATGGTATTTTCAGTAACCTCATATACATGCAAAAGCTGGACAGTGAATAAGGAAGATCATAGAAGAATTGATGCATTTGAGTTATGGTGCTGGAGGAGAATATTGAAAGTACCATGGATTGCCAGAAGAACAAACAGATTTGTATTGGAAGAAGAGCAGCCAGATTGCTCCTTGGAGGCCAGGAAGGCCAAAGTTCAACTTTTATACTTTGGACATATTGTCAGAAGGGACCAGTCTCTGGAGAAGGATATTATGTTTGGTAATGTGGAAGGACAGAGAAAAAGAGGAAGACCCCCAGTGAGATGGATTGGCAAAGTGGCAGCAATAATGGGCTCAAGTGTGGCAACAATTGTGAGATTGGTCCAGGACTGGACAGTGCTTTGTTCTGTTGCATAGGGGTGCTATGAGTCTGTACCGACTGGATGGAACCTAACAACAATATCAACAGTGTTTCACTGCTCTTTGTAAGGTTTTCAGTGACTAAGTATTCAGAAGTTGTATGTCTCTCCTTTCCTAGTCTGTCTTTGTCTGGAAGCTCATCTGAAATCCATGCACTGTGGGTGACCCTACTGCTATTTAAAATATCCGTAGCACAGCTTCCAGAATCAAAGAAACACACACGCCACCATAGTATGACAAACTGAAAGATGAGTGGTGGATGGTACATGGAGGGGATTGTAATCATTGTAATGAAATGAAGTATATGATTTGTTTAATTTAAAACTGATAATATACTCTGTAACTCTTTCACTAAATTCACAATAAAATGTTTTAAAAAAAAGTTTATGGAAAAATTTTCCATTATCTTTTAATTCCATTTTTATGTGAAGTCTTTGCAAATCTACAAGAGTATTTGTAGAATTCAATTCCTAGAAGTAGAGTTGTTGGTGCAAAAGCTGGGTTCAACTTAAATTTTGAGAGCTCTGTACCTCTCAAAATTTGCTCTCCCTTGGCCATAGTTGAGAACTCCCCCTCATCCTTAATTATATAGTGTTATCAAGCATTTGCTTTTTGCCACTCTTGTTGTTATTAAGTGCCGTCAAGTCAATTCTGACTCATAGTGACCCTGTACAGGGTTTCTGAGGAGCGGCATGTGAGTTTGAACCATTGACCTTGTGGTTCAAACTGACCTTGGGATCCAGTGCTTATCCTACAGCACCACAATCTTATAGGTGAAAAATGCTATTCTAAGCAATTGGTGTTTATCTCTCAGCAAGCACTATAATTTAATGGTAAAAGACACTTCTTAGCCAGTATATTAGGAAATAAAACTTGCTTTAAATATCACATCTTTAGGGGAGAGGGCAGAGTCCCGGTGTGGTGTTACAGGATAATGTGCTAGACCGCAAGGTCAGTGGTTCAAGCCCACCATCTGCTCCTCAGAAACCCTATACAGAGGAGCTAAGAACTGACTGGACAACAACAGGGGAGAGGACACACCATTCTACAATTAAAACCAAAGATTAACATTTTTATACCCCAGACATCTTTATTGCACACCTACTATGTCATAAAACCGACTCGACGGCACTTAACAACAACAACAACTATGTCATAAATTCATAGGGGATCGTTCTATAAACTCAGACTGTTTTCCATTGGTTCTCACAAAGTGTGCTTCTCTGGGAGGAGCAGGCTAGTGCTTCAGTTGAAGTTAGATGACTTTCTCTTTGATGTCTTTATTTTTCTAGCTTAATATGCTCAATACCACAATAATCCTCTTGGTGGGAATCTTCCCCTAGCTTGTTTGTTCACAACAGTGCCAACAATGACAGTTTTGCTATGGTAACATTTATGGGGTGTTCCTTTTTGAACAGTGCCCATTCTCTTGATGTTGACAATATTACCTTTCTTGTAGATTCACATGTATGTAGTCAAAGGAACAACTCCATGTTTTCTAAAAGGTCCAGAGAACATATGGTAGGTGCCCTTTCTTTTCCCTCTGTCTTTGTTGTTTTGGCTAATTGCTACAAGAAGGTGGTTCTGGCTGAAAGACTAGCTTCTGAAGTCTTTTTAAAACAAATCTTATGTAGTCTTGATGAGTCTTTCTCTTGTTATAACTAAAGCTGAATATTTTTCTATATGTTTAAGTTGTTAAGTATCGTTGAGTTGGTTCCGACCCATAGCGACCCTGTAGAGGGTTTCTGAGGAGCGGCTGGTGAGTCCAGCACATGAACCTACAGTGCCATACCAGGCTCATTTATAATTTCTTTTCTATGGACTGCCCTTTCCCTATGATTTCATTTCATTTAACTTTAAACTTTCACTGAAATTATAAAAATGGTATTTATAATTTAAAGATTCTATTGGGTAAAAAGTGAAAATGTCAGTTACATCCTGTTTATAGAAATACTTGTAAATCAAACTAACTCAGAATGACCAGACAATAGAGGGATGGGTAAAGGATACAGCTAGCAAATGCTTACAAAAAATAAAGTAAGACTGAACAGTTGAATGAGTGCCATTGTGTCCATAGGGTTTTCAGTGGCTGATTTTTTGGATGTAGCTCAGGCCTTCTTTTAAGGCACCTCTAGAGGGTCTCAGATTTCCAACTTATTGCAACCACGTGTATTACCAGCTTGTGCCACTCCAAGATGCCAGCATTAAAGCAAAACTATACAAAAGGAATATTATTTGAAAACAAACAAACCAAAACTCACACAAAAAACTAACCAAAACTGGTAAATATAATAATAAAGAACTCAATGGATATATTCAAAGCAGATTTGACCCAGCTGAATAGAGGACTAATGCGCTAGAAGAGACAAAAGGATAGAAAATACAGGACAGGGTAAAACACAGATTTAACAAACAAGTGGGAGCTCTGGAAGAAGAGGAGGAGGAATGGAGCAGAAACAATGTTTGAACAGAAATGGCTAAAAATTTCCCTAAACTGATAAGATATTCAGTCACAGATTCAAGAAGCTATATGAATTTTAACAGGGGGAAAAAGATACATATATATATATAAAGAAATTCACATCTAGCTTTATCAACTATCAGTCTTATTGTTGCCCATTTGAACATAATTTAACTTTTTTTGCTTTCCTTTAAAAGGAACTCTTGGGATGCTCTAAGTAGACAGTTCAAATCCTCCAGCCGCTCTGCAGAAGAAAGATGAGGGTTTCTGCTCCTGTAAAGACTTACCAGAGTGCTCCTTGGAGGCCAAGATGGCTAGGCTTCCTCTCTCATACTTTGGACACATTGTCCGGAGGGAACAGTCGCTGGAGAAGGATGTCATGCTGGGTAAGGTGGAGGGTCAGAGAAAATGGGGAAGATCCCTAACGAGATGGATCAGCCAGGTGGCATCATTGATGGCGTCAAGTGGTAGTGAGGTTGGCCCAGGATCGGGCATTGTCTCGTTCTGCTGTGCATGGGGTCGCTATGAGTAGACTTACAGCCCTGGACACCCTATAGGGAGTCGCTATGAGTCAGAATCACTTGATAGCAGTGAGTTGGGGTTTTGGAGAGTTGGCTGCTTACATGCAACCAAATCCTTCAGATGCTCTTATCATCATCCTGATAGTTCCCTTATAAATGGGCCAAATAATCTTTGATACGTCCTTATTTTATAATTAATTGTATGGGTCATGTTTTATCTTTTTGAAAATTAATTTTTAATTCATATGTACATATACAAAAAACAGACTCCTGGTGTGGCATTGTAGGATAATTACTGGACCACAATGTCAGTTTGAACTGGCAAGGTTGGTTCCAAGCCCCTCCTTGGAAACCCTATACAGGGTCGCTATGAGTCGGAACCACCTGGTTGGTAATTAATGTATATAACACAAAAGATTTATGAAACAATACTTTTCTATAATGTTTTCTTAGAATGTTGTCCATTTCCTTTTTGTTTAAAAGTGGATTTAAAACAAAAACAACCCCATTCTACTAAATCTAGTCTTAACCTGCAGTTGGAAAAATCCTGATTTAGCAGGCTTGAGGTGGATGAAGAGAATTGGATTAAAACAACAACAATCCCCTCTCCTAATATATACAATGCCTGTTTGGTTGGTTAGTTGGTTGGATTCCATACTCCAGAGATCAGATGACCTTGGCCACCATGCCTCATGTGGTCTTTCCTAGCTCAGCTCTCAGACTCCAGTTTCAATCTGGATGGCCCTTAGGAAAAGTCAGCGGTCAGTTTAGCCTCAGCTGCTGGACTCGGTCCTTCTGGAGAAGTGAGGGCCTCCCGGGCGATGGTGATTTGGGGAAGAAAAATGAGCAGGAGAGAGAGGACATTGCGAAACTCTTGCTCCCTCTCAACCCCGGGACTAAACCAAGAGATCTTGAGAGATGTGGGTCCCCTTCGTCACCCTGTCCATTGCTCACCTTTGATTAACGTGACCCCTTCCCCAGGCTGAGGAAGTTACAGCCGGAGAAAGGAGTGCTGTGCGTTCCTAAGTCCTGCTTTGGAGCGAGTGTGAGGACCTTTCGGAAAGTGCTGAAAGCAGTCGGTTGTTTAGTGGGCATTGACCCCGCCCTACCCTTGACCCCGCCCCGCTCCTTTGTTCGGGATTAGCCACCCCCTGCTCCCTACTCGGGATCCATAGGCGCTGCATGCTAAGCACGGTCCATGGCTGCACTCGGCTGCACCAGGATGCGCTGGGCTCTGTTGCGAGCACGGGTAGCGGGCATTGGCTTCCGCTCACCGGAGTCCAGGGCCAAAGCCACGCTCCCTGCCGCCTTCCCCGCGGCGGAGGCAGCCGCGCCTAGAGGAACTGGGCCTGGAGACCAGCCGTTGCGGAGCCCAGAGGAGCTTCCAAGGCCGGGGCATCTGCGCAACTTATTCCAACTGTTGGTGCAAGGCTACGTGCTGCACATGCACCAACTCCAGGTACCCGGGCAGGGGCCTCTTGCCCCCGGGATGGAAGTGAGCAGAGGGAAAGAGCTGGGTACGGAGAAGACGTTGGAGAGCAAGTGAAGGGTCTGGTAACTTGTCTAGGAGCCAAGGGTCTTGTTCTCATACATTACACATTTGCAACGGGAATATCATAATGCAAACAGAACCCTTCAAACAGAAATGAACAGAGAGATGTGAAGAAGACGGAGTCTGAGAGAGGAGGAACTGTCTCAATAAGGGAATGGCAGATAGAAGTATATGAGCTTCCGCATGTTATATAACCACTAATTCTCTAGTGATAATTGGCAACCACAAACTTCTTCTAAAGGAAACTTCAGGAGAATTATGGAGACTTTAGAAATTTGCCAGATAAATTTCCGTTTAGGGGGAAAACACATATCATGTCCCAAGAAGTGAAAGTAAAACCACATACATTAAAATAGAAAAGACACATTTTGTCATTAAAAAAAAAAAAAAAAGGGGTTTTAAGCAAGAAGAATTTATCCATGATCACCCACTATCAAAGGACAGTGATTAGAAAACCCAACATGGACCAAAGGTTGGATAAACTGGAGAAGTTTTAGGAAATGAACCAAAGGGGTTTGAGGGATAGGTCTTCCCAATGTGCTTTTTGTGCAAGCAGCACAGCTGACTGACGGGTGTTTTGAACCTTCCCCATCAGTGTTGTGGAAGACAGGACTGGCAGTCTGTTTCTGTAAAAATTATAGCCAAGAAAACCCTGTGGAGCGGTTCTTCTCTGTAACATATGGGGTTGCTGTGAGTCAGAATCCACTAAACAGCTGTGAGTTTGGTTCTGTGTTTGTATTTATGTTCATGCATTTTTCCAAGTGCTGAGATATAGTGAGGTGGGGTCCCTGCCGTCATGGGGCAAATTGGGAGCCAGGGAGTAAATCAATCAATCAGTAGTTCATTTCCTTTTCTTGTTGTTAACTGCCATTAAGTCCGTTAATAATTTATTATACAAATTGAATATCACACGAAGAGTTGGCATTAGCTTCTCCAGGAAGTTGAGAATCCATTTATGTTGCTTTCACAGCTG